CAAAAATATATATGTCATGTGGTTTTAATTTTGTTTGTGGCATTGTGTACATGTTAGGATATGTATGTAACGTAATTTGTTTTGTAAATTTAACTAGAAACCCAAGATATGTATCAGAACTTAAAATGGGATTAAACCATTTTAAAAATAAGCGAATTCAAATCTACTACTTACTTGTCGACTATAAACACTACCTTCAGCTTATCCATAGGCGATACCTATTAGATCGCCTATAGGAGAATCCATTTCCACAAAATCTAAAACTAAATACGGTAGAACTATGAAAACCCTGTATTACAATCTTTTGGATGATAACAGTCTATACAATTTGTCATAATAATAAGTTGTTGAATTCCTCTTAATATTGAAGAATGCTGCAGTTTTTAGTTTAGCACAATACTATAAATAATATATTATGTCTTTATTTTTTTTGTCGAAAAATGGTTTATGTCATCATTATGCATTGTTTTATAAATATACCTGGGCTTGACCGCCAATTCCTTCATTCTGACGTGTCGTCACCCCTTGGCAGTCATTCGTTTTGTCAGATGCATTGTCTGAATCACATTTTTTTATCCCAATTTGCTTTGTTGTTAATTTTGTTGTATTTTTATTTATTTATTGAATCAGACATTCTCATTCATTCACTAAGACGGAATATTAAGGCCTTTAAAATGATTCACTTATGTTTCACTTGCAAATAGTTAATCATTATCACGAGATATGGTTAAATATATATATATATATATCTCTAATTCTTAAAATAGTATAGATGATTAGCGAAACTTATTTTAAATTGATTTATGTATTTAATTGTAAGCGATAGAGATGAGAGATGCGTAACATTATTTAAAATTAATAAATTGGTATTTATATTGATTCAAATTTATCACGATATTTTACCTTCCAAAAATCAATATAAGTTTTTTTACATAATTTGTATATGTTTTTGAAATTAGTTATTCCGCGTATGAAATAGTTTCAATTTTTTTCTTTTGAGTTTTCATTGGGTGACAAATCTTCCTGCTAAAATTTAAAATATAGGTTGGTCATAGGGCATATTTCCCATATAAAGCTCCTTTTATAGGTACTTGGTCTTTGGCGCACTAGTTCCTTTTTTAAAAAGGAACTAGTTCCTTTGCTCCATTTAGTTCCTTTACACCATACAGTTATTGTGCTATTTATAGTTCCTGTGCTCCATATAGTTCCGACTCCTGCATTGTTCCTTTGAATCTCTCTCTTTCATCGTTCTTTTTTTATTTTTTTCGCTCACATAGTTCCGTGTTGATTTGTTAATAAATGCAAAAATTGAAAATTGTGCAAAAAGGAAAAAATGAAATGAAGCTACAGAATTCAACTGCAGGACGATAAGCACAAAATATTTTTTTCATAAATAAATAAAAATATTTAAAAAAAGAGAGAGCTGGAACTAGTTCCGTGCGTTCCTTTCTCGGAATAGTTCCAATGAACTAGTTCGTTCCGGAACTACCCAACTCTACATAGCACATCAACATAAAGGAGGTCCCGAACGATAAGAATTCATAGATTTAGACCTTCAGAAGATTTGTATGTTTGCTCCAAAGGTATTTTTTTCATTGTCAGATTCCAGAGATTTTCAATCCCATGGTTATATGCTTCATATATTTATTCTTAACAATAAATGTAAAAAATTTTCTTCGCAAAAGTTCATTTTTTTATCTCATTCCTTCCACTGTGCCATTTAAAAAAATATGTGATCATTCATTTGTCATTAAAATAAAATTTATATACATTTAAATTCCAATGACAACGTCGATGAATTCATAAGTTCCATTGGTATTAATAATAATTTCAATTAGGTTTTTGAATCATTGGAGATTGGATTTTTTGCAAAGATTATTCTATTGAAATGTATTGATTTTATTTTAATTGGAAATCTTACAGATTCGTAATCAAAGTGATGACATTTATTAACCCATAAAATGCAACTGATATTTTACTTCCGCAATGTAGATTCCCGCTAAATTTAATGGTATGACTCCTAATTAAAAACAGTTTATTAAAAAAAATATTGAATATGGGTAATATTGCTGTAGACATTGTTTGAAGGAAGTGTTAGTTCAAACAATGATTACAACATTTGGTGGAAGAGAGGGTTAAATATTTTTTTATTAATCAGATTCAAATAAAAACTCAAATAAGCTGTACAGAAATTCAAGTAAAAAACGAAAACTGGAATGAATGTGAATATAAAAGTTGCAAAAGAAAAATCAATTTTTTCATAAGCTATAAATGGTGAGAAAAACTAAGGGAACAGATCAGTATCAGTAGCGAGATCCGAAACAATAGTCTTCCCTATCCTTACCCCTTGGTAAACAATGTCATACTTTTCCACTAATAAATAATTTTGTTTATAAAAACTACAAACTGGGATAATGCCCGACTATTTTGCAATAAATAAAAAAATAAAACAATTTTTTATTCATAACAATATTTTTTTTTATTCGAGAGCAAACAAAAAATCTGCATTCAGATGCAACATTTTTCTGCACTCAATTACTCTTTACCATCAACCACCTATCCCCTTCTGCATTTAAATTTGCTTGAATAGCATTCGGCTTAATACACTGGGGCTTGTTTGCAAATAACAAAAAAAAAAAACAAAAATCTGACAGAAGAAAATCTCACTCAAGCTATGTTAAACAACAGCAGCAAGATAACTGTGGAAATTTCTATCGGATTCGGTATTTTTGTTGCAAAATATGGAATGAAGCTAGTTCGTTGTGAAGTTTTTGAGAAAAACTTTGAGAAACCCCACAAAAATAAATGACGTTTGATATACTCTTTAAATAATCTTACGAACAAGTAAGGAATAAACAACATGATGCCACTTCGCTGTTGAAACCCCGTCTGACATATAGATGCGTTTTTAACCGAGAACCACACCACAACATCAAATCTAGATGGATATCGACCATGTGGTAGTCAGCCCGATATTAAGGGGACCCCCCCCATTCTCGGGTTCAAAATTTTTGTTGATATAATTCGAATCTACACTGATTAAAGAATGTCTCTACAAAATTTCAAGTGAAAATCTCAAGAACTCTTGAAGATATAGCCGATTTATTGTGTCAGCATCAAGTGACGGCTGAAGGGCTTCTCAAACTTTAATCGCGTTTTTCTCTAAACATTTTTTTTCCGAATGGCGGGCACGATAAGTCAAAAACTAATAATCCAATCGGTTCCAAATTTTGCAACGTTTCTCTGGGAGTGTATAGCTCTCGTATGAACTAGGATAAAGACAATCGGTGAAGATCTTCCTTATTTTTTAACTTGGTTTTTTGTAAAAAATCGTCGATTTTTCCAAAAATATCTTTTCAAAGGCCCACCATTTTGTTAATTTTAGAGCGAAGTAAATAATCCTAGTTCATACGAGAGCTAGACATGTACTCTTTCTAACACCGTTGGAATTTTCGGATTCCGATGTTCCAGTGATGAGTTATCATGCCCGCCATCAAAAATAAGGACTTTTCTTTAATTACAAAAAACAACAACAAAACAATAACAAAAATTTTTTGTAAATTATTTTTCTTCTCTTTTAAATCTTCAGTTATATATGTGCAAAGTTACAAACCTTAACAAGCATTTGTATTCATTTACCAGCCCATTGAAAATCTTGAAAAATTAAAATCGGGAATGGGGGGGGGGGGGTTCCCTTAAATTCGACATAAAAATTCAGCGGCTAAGGTAGGCTAACAATCTAAAAATCGTAAACCACAGGCCCCTATTTTTTCTAACGGTAAAATTCACAAAACTATGCACTCAAGGTTTACTTAGAAAAAATGATCGAAAAAAATTGTAGACCACAGGTCTCAATGGTATTCTATAAAAAAAATCGTAGATCACTGGTATCTAATTCGTAGACCCCAGGTCTATGGATTTTTTCTATAGAAAAAAAATCGTAGACCCCAGGTCTACGGATTTTTCTATATAGAAAAAAAATTCGTAGACCCCACGTCTCTAGTTTTTTTCTGTAGAAAAAATTCGTAGACCCCAAGTCTCTATTTTTTCCTGTAGAAAAAATGCGTAGACCCTAGGTCTTTAGTTTTTTTTTTTCTATAGAAAAAAATTCGTAGACCCTAGGTCTATACTTTTTTGACCCTAGGTCTATAGTTTGTTCTACGATTTTTTTCCATTGAAAAATGTTTGTAGATCGCTATTCTTTGTATAAAATAATCGTCTTTTTTGGGGTAGGTTGCGGATTAATTCGATAATTTTTGTCTTTTAATAAAATGCTAACACACCGGTTGTTGTTTTGATACTAAACGGCATTTCTGTCCAAAATAACAAAATATTGAAAATAATATCTGCATTTCCGAAATCTCCTCTAATTTTGACACATTCGAATTCACACATTTTCATTGGATTTCACAATAAAAGTGAAATTTCAAATATGCACGTATTTTATTTTATTTAACACCTATTTTGCAATAAAAGAAATTGAAAAGTAATGAATGAAATGTAAACCCAGACCCATCGTCATGTCAATAACTCAGGCACTCAGTCAGCCGGCCAGCTGGTCAATGTCGTAATAGAATCGATGCAAATTCAAAAAATTTACACAAAATCCGTTATAACGGACCGTGGAAGGGCCAGCGATGGTGATGATCGCCATGAAGTGTTTATGAATTGAACACGCTGCTTACTGAGCCAATTATCACATTGAACTTGAAGATGATGACCAGACGGACGGACGCACGGTACAATGACAATCGGAGCATGGACCCATCACCCAGTGTTGTTGTTTTTATTTTTGGAAGAAAAGCGATAAAAATTAGTGCATATAAAAAGCTTGGCTCAAATTACAATTCAGTAGCAGTTACATTGTGTTAGGGACAAAGTGAAGAAGTCTTCAAGGAGTGGCAATATTCGACAATAGAAAAAATCAAAACTTATAAAAAAAATTCCGAACAAGGACCAAAAGGATTACACACCGAGTGATTAAAGAAACGAAAAGAAAACAAAAAAAAAACAAAATGAATAAAAATACATTGTGGTTAATGGTTGTGCTTTTGGCCATGTATTTGACATTGGTGTTTTGTGAAGAACAACAGCAGCAGCAACAACAAGAACTACAAGAAAATTCGGAAACTGCACTTGAGGCTGCAGTAAAAGAATTTCTAGGAAGTGATTCAACTGAACTGTCGCAGGATGAAGCCAGAACTAGAAGAAGACATAGGCATCATTTGTGTAAGTAGATCAGTCAAAAGGACAATTTTCCCTTGGGGATTAAAAATAAAAAAAAATTCCGACCAGAGGTCTCCAGAAAAAGAATTAGAGAACCCGGATCTCCATGGTTTCATAGACATAAGTTCTCGATGTTTTTTCTATAGAAAAAGAGTCCTGATTTTTTTTCTATAGAAAAAATTGAGAACTGAGTTCTACGAATTGTTTTCTTTTGAATAAAATCGAGAACTGAGGTCTACAAATTGTTTTCTATAGAAAAAAAACTAGAGACCTGAGATCTACGATTCTGTAGAAAAAAATCGTATATCTCAGGTCTCTATTTTTTTTCTATCGTAGACCTCGTAGAACTCAGGTCCCTAGTTTTTTTCTATAGAAAAAAATCGTAGACCTCAAGTCTCTAGTTTTTTTCTATAGAAACGAATCGTAGATCTCAGGTCTCTAGTTTTTTCTATAGAAAACAATTTGTATACCTCAGTTTTCGATTTTATTCTATAGAAAACAATTCGTAGACCTCAGTTCTCAATTTTTTCTATAGAAAATAATTCAGGACTCTAGTTTTTTTTTCGTAGATCCTGGGTCTATGTTTTTTTCTATACAAAAAAATTCGTAGACACCGGGTCTATGGTGTTTTCTATAGAAAGAAAATTCGTAGACCTAAGGTCTCTAGTTTTTTCTATAGAAAAAAATTCGTTGCCATCAGGTCTCACTGTTTTTTTATAGAAAAAAAATTGTACTGTTTTTCTATAGAAAAAAATCGTAGAACTCAGGTCTCACAGTTTTCCTATAGAAAAAATCCGTAGACCTCAGTTTTCTATTTTTTTTTTGTACAAAAAAATTCTTTGACCTCAGTATTCGATTTTTTTCTATAAAAAAAAAAATTGTAGACCTCAGTTCTTGATTTTTTCTTATAGAAAAAAAATCATGCACCACAGTTCTCAATTTTTTTTTTTTAGAAAAAATTTGTAGACCTTCGTATTCGTAGAAAAAAAAATACAGGGCTGATGTTTTGTAGACAAAAATTGTAAGGAATTTTTTCTATAAAAAATGGTCACTAGCTCTTTACTATACAATAAAATTGTCAGGACTGGTTTTTTCAATAGAAAAAAATCCTCGACTGCAGGATTTTTTCCTGGTATAAGAACTGACTATTTTATATAAAAAAACCCTAAACCCCTTTGAACTTTATCCGGTTATGGGCCGTATGATTGCTGACAGTAGTCATACGCCCTCATATACACCATATTATTATTAATCATACGTTTTAATAATTTGATTTTTCTTGTTGTTGCAATAAACATATGGGCCTAGGTAACTCCGCTGCAAAAATTAAAAACAAATCGCTGACGTAACAACAGTTATTTTCCAAATAATAATTAACACCTTCTTATGTCATATTTATCGTAAGAGTTCTGTTTTTTTATTTATGTATTATCAATTTTTATGGCTATTATTATTAAATCATAGTCTCATTACGAGGGGATTTTTATAAATGATTAGCGCCCCCTGTGCCGCGATGGAAAATAACAATCCGATCCAAATAAAGAAGTGTGAAAGTTAAACGAAAGTTGTTGATTATTGACTGAAGGCGAAGAAGAAATAGTTGCAAATGCAGAGATCACGATTTTTCCCGCCGCAGAGGTGGCACAGTGCGAATGCGTAACACAATTAACACTTTCACTTTCGAGAAAAAAATTATGCAACAACGCATTATTTTTATTAATTTGTTTATTTTTTTTCGTCTCGATATTTGCAGATGCCAGATGGGGCTGGACTGCCATAGCCATTGCCTATTTGATTAAAATCAAGGTTGTCATTGTGGCCTTCTTTGTGGGCAGTGCCGTGTATTTGGGTCTGCGTTATTTGTGGCCCCACAAATGTCAACCTGAAATTATTTTGGATCATCCTCCACCGTAAGTTTCAATTATTTAAAAAATTCAAAAGCTAACATAAGAATGGATTCCGTTTGCTCTCTTTTTCGCAGATCATTCTCTCATCATCATGACCATCATGATCACATTCCCTATTCCTCGGACCATTCGGAAGTCATTAGTTCATCATGGGGAGGCAGTAGCCCTGGTGCCTCATTCGATCCTTATTCGGCTTATGCTGGTTCATATGGCAGTTCTGATGTTTCACCACCCGAAGCCCCCTCCGCTGACGTTCCCAGTTATCGTATCAAACGTGAAGTCATAGAAAATGTAGAACAAGAAGAGTCCAGACAGATGGGGCCTGCAATCAATGAAGAAAAGTAAGGAGATCATAATCACAAAAATCCCTCTACAATCCAAACATTTCCCTATTTTTTTTATATCCCCTCTTCTAGAATCGGCAATTTCATGTTTATGTTTTTGGGTTTGGATTCCATGGCCTGCCGTCGCCGTTTCATCTGTGAAATGGAATTCCGTTCGAAGACCAACCCCCTAACGGCCATGGCTTTCCGTGTGGTGGGACGCAGCTTCTTTGCCAAATACACCAACGATCGCAATGAAATGGGCCAGGCGAATTCATTTGAAGAATGTGCCGCGGTGAATAGTGAATGTGTTTTCATTGAAAACGATAACAATAATCAGGAGCAGGAGGAACAGACACACGAAGAAGAATCATCACTAAACAATAGCAACGAAGAAGAAGTGGAAGATGCAAATACCGAAAATCAAGTTGAAGAAGCAGCAGCAGAAAGTGAATCGAACAACAATGATTTGAATTCGGATGCTCTGCCCACCGAAGAAGATGCCGATAATAATTCCATCGAAAATAATAATATTGAAGAGAGAGCAAATTATCAAAATTTAATGGCCGAGAGAAGGCATTCCTATTGGAGACATCGTAGCGTGCGAGGAGGTGGTGATCGCCAATTTTAAACTTTAATTGAACGAAAAGTAGTGGTGTTGTTAAAAGTGAACTGGTTTCACATAAGAAGACAACAACAAAAACATAGTTTAATTTTATTTATTTATTTCACCTAGTTTTAAGTTCTAATAAAACTTGCCTTTATTAAATTATTTAAAAAAAATCTGTTGCTTTATTGGATCTACTAATCTTGTTCTAGAAATAAGGTGTACCCTATGGCTATTTTTTTTCTATAGAAAATGTTGAGAGCTGAGATTTTTTTCTAGATGAAAATACATAACTCACTACTCCAGCTTTTCCTAGAGAAAAACAAAAAATAGAATCATCACTCTCCTATAAAAACCACCAGAGATCTGAGGTCTACGAAATTTATTTCTATTGAAAAAAATCTGTCATGAGAGCTTGCCAATATATTTTTAAATAAAAAAAAAATCAGCAAAATATTAGACGATTTTGTAAATAGAGAAAAAATCAATCCTGAAGGCCCGACTATTTCTTTGAATAAAAAAATTATTCCTGAGTGCCTGACAAATTATTTTGTATTTTTCAATAGAAAAAATCAGCCCTGAAACATTTTTTATATAGAAAGAAAGCTGTTATCTGTTCTCTAAAACTGACAAAATGTTTCTATAAAAAAACCGTCATCAGTCGGAGGGTCCTGAGGACCCGACGAATTTGCTTCTTTTCAGAAAAAAAGAAGAAAGAACAAGAAAAACGTGAGCGAGATGTGCAGGAGTCAGAATGAAGTCCAGAAATTTTACCAAACAGAAGGGATTGGTTCAGACACATCTTCCTGCAGAGATGAAGAAGGAAACCTGGTGACAGATACAGACAGCGTGGATCTGGATGGAGCATTTAGAGGATGTGGAGGGGGCATTTAGGAAAGCTTCTGGTATACCAATAAGAAATGACGGTATAAAGCCACGATGAGGTCAGAATAAAAATCGGCTGAAGAATAAAGCAACAGTAGCGGTGGGTTACCAGACGAACTATACCAGACTGTTGGTCAGATGCTGGTCAGGAGCATGCATCAAGTGATTAGTACAGACAGCGTGGATATGGATGGAGCATATAGAGGATCTGGATGGAGCATTTAGATGATCTGGAGGGAGCATTTAGGAAAATTTCTGGTATCAAATAGTTTCGGTAAAGAAGATACCCCAGAACCAATAAAAGATGACGGTATAGAGTGTATACCACATAGCCAAGATGAGGTCAGAATATCAATAAATCGGCAGAAGAATAAAGCAGCAGCCGATGGGTTACTATACGAACTATACAAGACTGTTGGTCAGATGCTGATCAGGAGCATGCATCAACGGATTAGTACAATTTGGAATTAGAGGAATGCATGACCAATGATTGGACAGCATCCTGAGACAAGACGATATGTGCCAACTATAGAGGAATAAGTCTCCTTCCCATCGTATATAAAGTGATATCCAGCGTGCTGTGCGAAAGACTGAATCCAATGGTCAATGATATTATTTGATTATACCAACGCGGCTTCAGACCTGGCAAATCCACCACCGACCTGATTTTCACTCTGCGCCAAATCCTGGAAAAGACCCTGCACATCGACACATTCCATGTTTTCATCGACTATAAATCCGCATTCGACAGCCCTATCCGTTCAGAGGTATTTAAAGTCATGTCTGCGTCCGGCATTCCTGCAAAATTAATACGTCTACGCAGGATAACTTTAAGTGGCACAAGGTCAGTAGTTAATGTCGGAAAGGACCTACTGGAGCCCTTCAATACCGAACAAGGATTCAGACAAGGTGACAGTTTGTCGTGTGGTCTTTTTAACATCCTGCTGGAAAAGGTCATAGAAACGCAAAGGTAAACAGAAATGACACTCTGTACACCAAACAACACATGTTACTCGCCTACACCGATGAACTCGATATAATTGGTCGAACATTGCGAGCGGTAACAGCCATCTTTGAACAAATTGAAAATGAGGGGTTCTGACAGTAAATGGCGAGAAGACCAAGCTAATGGTATTTATGAGCAAGACGTCCAGAGACTTATACAAACTGTGGAAGTTGAAGACTTCAGCTTTGAGGTAATCAGAGATTTTATCTACCTCGGTACCCCCATAAACAAAACAAGTGACGTCAGTTTTGAAATTCGGAGAAGTATAGTGCTGGCCAAAAGATGCTACTATGGTCTAAGTAAGCAGTTTAAAAACAAGGCCACCTCCCGCCAGACCAAACTCAAACTTTACAAGACGCTGGTACTACCCGTGCTGTTATATGGATCTGAAGCATGGGTACTTGCGCAAACAGATGAGACAGCTCTTGGGGTGTTTGAGTGAAAAAAATCTCCGAAAGATATACGGGCCGATATGCATCGACGGTGAATATCGGCGTCGAATGAACCACGAGCTTTACAATCTATACCCGGAAATCGACGTAGTCAGTCGTATCGAGCTGCAGTGACTAGGCCATATTGTGCGAATGAATGAGATTGCTCCAGGCATATAAAAGCGAGCTTACTGATGGTTCGCGCAGAAGGGGAAGGCCACGAATTAGATGGAAAAATCAAGTAGAAGACAACTTCGCGGAACATGGTCTTTCAAATTGGAGGAGATGCACACAAGAAGCGCTTGGAAATCTTTTTAAGCTCGGCTTATGGACCAATCGTTCTGTAACAAGCCAACTAAGTAAAGGTGAACTTTGCCGTATGTTTGTGGTCATTGTCCTGTTGGAACACTCATCGATTTGGCATATTTTCTTCTGCATAAGGAAGCAAATGATTTTGTACAATGTCATGACATGCTTCATTGCTGAAGCTGTTCGATCATTTTCGATTTGCTCCCCAAAATTATCTAGGTCATTCACTTTGTTCCATAGTTCACTTTAGTTCAATCATTGGTACACGTTATGTAATTCGGTCAATGATCAGAAAATTAAGATGATCGATTTGAGCAAATGGAACTATGTGACCGACAGAAAGAAACGGTTGGAGCAAAAAAAACTAGATGAACGAAAGAACCCAACCTAGCACCGAAGGTTCCTTTTGCGGAATAGATTCTTTGAACAAGTATTTATTTCGCTAAAGAACTTCAAATGCACTTTAACATTTTTACTTTCCAAGCACTATGAACTTTAAGGTTCTCTTTAATTAGTGTTGTCTTCGAGTTGTTGATGAGTCGATATTAATTTTTAAATAATTTTTGCATATGTTTCGATTAAATAAATGGATCCACTAAAAAGAATCCACTTAATTGTACTTTCTTCCAGTATTCTTGAAACTTCAAGCTTCCTTGCAATTTTTATACATACAATTATTTCCATATTTTTGCTAAGTGAGTAAAAATTATACGAAATATTGTAATACTACGTTTACATTGTACCGATTTATACAGGTTAAACAGAAAAAAGTGTTATAGAAAAAACACTTACTCCTGGAACCTAATTTTATTCTTTCTATTTGGGAATTAGGACGCGCAAAACATTTCATTTGAATTTTGGATTAATTAAAATTATAAGATCACAATTTATTATCCTAACCTAACCTCAATATCAAACAATTTACTTTATAATTCCTACAGTGTGTGAGGATAAATAATTCCAAATACAACAGCACAAATACAACAACACAAACAAACAACCAACCAAGCACCGAAAGAAGAAGAAAACAAAAAACACATTTCCAACCAACAACATAACCTACCAGTAATTCAGAGCCAGCAATAAGCGAGCAACAGAAAATAGAAAAAAATAGCAACTTTATATCAACAACAGAAGGCAACAACGACCTTCTCTTTATTCGCTTTTTTCTGATATTAAAAATTCATTCAGAGCCAAACACAGCAAGCAACAATCAAACAAACGAGTACAAAAAATCAACGAACAACTACAATAACAACGCTGAGCAAGCAATATAATATGAAAAGCCATAGAGTAAAAAATAAACAAACAAAACGACGACGAAGACCATGACGAGGAACGACCGACCAACAACCGAAAAAATAATAATCGTCGTAAGCGAAACTAAACGACTCTGAGCGCCGTATACAAAAAAGAATGAGAAGTCACATTTTGCGCGTTTGAAATATGTGAAGAAATGAAACAAATGCAGGCATACATGCAGGCCAAAAACAACAACACACAATTCGTTCGTTATTTACTCACATTATTACGAACGACCTCGAGAGTGAGTGTAAGGAACTTGCTGTACAGAGCCCCGACGACACAAGAAGCTTTTACCCATGCCAGCCTTCCTTCCATCAACAAAACAACAGAGCAACAGAAACGATGAGAGCAGCACAACAACAACACAACCTGGTACAGCCATGATACAGTTTTAACATTGTGTGTGGGTAAGAGACAAAGAGCAAGAGCCGTTTACATTGAGTATACGTGTGAGCAACAGAGAGCACTCCTGGCAGGCATGTTTAAAATTCAGTCGTTGTCGTTGCCGACATCGCTTCTGTAGTTGTCGTCGTTGAGTAGCAACATGATGACATTGTTTGTTTACATTGAATTCATTTCGTTCGTTTGTCATGAATGAGTTTTGTCTACTACTGTCTGCCTTCGTTAAATTGTTGAGGTTGGCACTGTGTTGTGTAGTGGCGGCGGCGTCGACGCCTCGTCGAAGCTCAGCGCACACTACACACTTAATAATTCTCTTGTTGGCTGTTTGATTTTCTTAGTAGGCTAATCATGTGTTTTGCTTTTCATCACCGATTCATTTAACAACGAACGGCACGTTGGACTGGTGACCGGCTGCATGGAGATGGTTGGCTGACTGTTGTTCGACTTGTCTGTTTGTCCGCACATTTGTGTGCGGCGGGTAAACCGGCAAAGGCAGCATGGCATGCACAAACACGCGTCATAATATGAGAATTTTTGCGGATTATAAATGAAAACCGACCGGCAAGCACACAAATTTGCGCTTTGTGGTGGTGAAGTATTGGCGTGATGATGGTGGTTCGGTCTGGTTGGTTTGTTGGAAGCAAAACAAAAAATATTCACACGCTTCAAGTACCAAGCAAAAAAAA